TTTCGCACAAACATTCCTTTTAATCGTCGATTGTTTAGCTGAATAACTGACTCATGATCAGCTGTAAACTAATTATTACAAGTCCTTCAGTGATAAGAGGTTGGAACCAGAAGTTAAAGATATACATTTATTGCTCTGAAAAGTAGAATGGTTTTAGATGCAGGAGATCGTACGCTGTCCGCACCGGTATCAAATTCGTTGACTCCCCAACCAGTTGCAACTTCTCATTTTGTACCACCTCCGGTTGCAGGCTTACCACATATGGGCCACATACCATTGCAGTCACAACCGCAGACGCCAAACGCAATGAATGTCTTCGGCCATGAACAGTTAAATGCACCACTATCAACTCCACAATCTGAGTATCGCTTTGGCATACCTGCTGGGAATCAAAATGTACCACCATTCGGTGTTTCGGTTTCTCAAATGCAGCAGCATCAGGTTCAGCAGCATCCATCGATGGCTCACTCCTCTTTTGGCATTATGCCTGGTAATACAAATGTACCCCAGCATCAGCAGATACCATCCCACCCTCCTTCAAGTAATGTACCGGGTTTGCAACCCACATCAGCAATATCAGCTTCTGGCGTACCACCTACTTCATTCGGTACGCAACTGTCAATGGCGTGCGGAATGATGCAGTCTCAAACTCCACCCCAGCAATTGGTCTATTCAACGAATTCTGCAACTGTTCAAAATTTTCATCCAGTGACAGTCAGACCAGTCCCTCAATCGGGTATTCAATTTTTTGAACTTGCTTTAAGTTTAGAGTTTTTTAAAACACACTGAAAGAGACGTAACTTAGGAACTAATATTAGGCGAAATATATCTAGAAAACACTGATATGTAATATTTGGCATTAAAATATATGAAATTGCTTTTATTTATTTGCAAACTTATTTAACGTAATTATAAATTACAAACGAGAAATATTTTATGAAATCTGTAATTTTGCACTTTATATTAAACAATGGAGTATGTTGCATAAATTGAAGGTAATTTCGGTATTTTTAACTTTTTAAGGCTTACCCCCGGCTTCCATAGCTCCTCCGTTATCTTCAGTTGCAGCTACTTGTAATTTTGATCGTCATTCAACACCTACATCTACGACGCATCCACCTGCTGGCCCACCACCAACAATGCCATTCGGCGCACCAGGTGCTCCGAATCCATTTGCTCGTGGCACGCAGCCTTCTCATCACATGCGTTTCCCATTGCAGCCATCCGGATATTGATAGTCCGTATTTCCAGCTTTTTTCTTCTGAATTAGTTTTTAAGAAATAAAGGATAAGAAAGTTTTGGCTTTTCCCGAAAATTCTTTGTTGTTTATTTAAAACTATCTGGTGCAGTTTTTTTCAGCTCATTCGTTTCTATATTTTCTTATTTATTGGTAATGGATTATTTCATTTTCATTTGTATTTATTATTTTTTAGGGTTAAAGAGTGTATTCGTATAAATAAAACTGCAATAAAACTTCTGCTTTCTAAGATTTTGAAGTACAATGCAAAGTGGTATTCTATATGCCAGATATTTGAATATAATATTTTCTTCATCTGTTTTGAAAAAATAGAAAGTATATTTCAAGACATATTTCAATTGTTATCTGAATGAAATCGATATAAGTCATTTGTTTCGTAGGGGCATCGTTCACACTAGTTGTATCTTTTAACATCATTTCTCGAAAATAAATCCATTCCTCCTTACGAAGTCAAATCCATTTTTTGATATTAACATTGCTAAATATTTCGATCTGGAAGCTAGTTGTCTGCTTCAGAGCAAGAGTTGTCATCTAGTTCTACATCAAAATCTAAGTACCTTAGAGGGCATCCTTATCAGTTTGTGGTATTAAGTGTGCTTGTTTCCTAGCTGTTGAAGCTAGTCACTCTAAGGAGGAATTATTTTTCGTAATTATGGGACTTTTCATTGTTTCTTGAACGGAATGAAGTAGTTTTCATAAGAAGGAATGACTACCCATAATCAGCTAAATAGAATGTTTTCATGGCTTTTACCATGCGTGCATGTAATTTGTCTTGAAATTTCAGTGTTTCAGTTGCATCAAGCTATTCTGTACTTGATTTATAAGGAAATATTGTTCCTTATGAAGAAGTAAAACTTCTTGGAAATGGAGCATACAGTTTAAGAATATTTCGTAAATTTGAGAAGAGTATCCATTTCTTATTCTTATCTCCCACTCAAGTGTTTTTTTACTACTTTAGTAAATTATTGAGAAATATTTTCGAAATTTTTTAGTACCTTAAGTTGTATCCTGCATTCGTCATTCTAAATTGAGGTACTGTGGTTTCCAATGAAGATTGTTTTTAGTGAAGTTTTTCTCCATCTTTTTAAAGACTTATTGCGTAGTACTCTTTTGCTGTTTGGTTCGAACACAATTGAGGTCAATGCTTCGATCTGATTGGGGCGATGCACGACCAGCAACAATTGCTTCAACGACCTTGAAGGCGGTTGTTCTCGTTGGTGGTGCTCAGAAAGGTATTCAAAGTTCAATACCATATTTAATTCAGTATCGACACTTGTAACTATGTTGCTGGCGAGCCTAATTCTTATTTTGCTCTATGCATTTTTCTTGCTGTTACCAGTCTTATTAGTTGCATATGCCATTTCCCGTTGTCCACTCCATCTATAATTTATCTTATTTTTTTCTGCGTTCAGGGACGCGTTTTCGTCCACTTTCCTTGCAAGTACCAAAACCTTTATTTCCTATAGCGGGAGTACCGCTCATCGAGCATCATATTGAACAACTTTCAAAGGCAAGTTCTTAGCTAGTTATTTTTTTAAAATATTATTATTCAGTCTGGTAAAGTGAATACAATGTATAATTATTAAATAAATTCTTATTTTGCAGCTCAATTTAAGTCAATCTACAACTTGCTCTTTAGTTTAGTTTTCGTAACGAAAATAATTTTTTAGTCTTATTGATCATATCGTACAAAATACTTCAACATTTTTCATCAGTGAAATTTTTCTTCTTTCAAAAAATTTAGTGCAACTACTGTTTGTTTTTTATGTGCCACTGAAACGGTATTTCATAATTAAGCATTTGAAACTTTTTTTCTGGAGAAAAATTTCATTTCCAGCTTGATGCTGTCGTGGAAATTTTTTTGATTGGATTTTATCCAGCGAAGCAGTTCCATGATTTCATTGAAAAATGCCTGGATATATATCACATTAAAATCAGGTGATCTTTGTAATTTATTAATGAGATGAAAGAATTCTTCTAAAATTAGAAAGACAAATCTAATCCCAAAATTTATTTGCATCTTGTTGCAACCACAGGAGGTTGATTTTTGATGGTTTTAGTTTGTAGATATAGATTTATATGGTCTAGCTTTAACACATGTTAATGACATATGTAAACTTTTATGTAAATAAGGTTTGGAAGTATAGATCTAAATTGTCTAAAATTTATTCCTATCAAACTAAATGCAAGTTTTTAAACATCTTTTTATCTTACTTTGAGGTACTTGGAAGAACCAGAAGCTTTGGGTACAGCATGTGGACTATACCATTTTCGGTCTATTCTTCTAGAAGGCAATCCAAGTGCACTATTTGTGCTGAATGCCGATGTTTGTGGCGATTTACCAATTGCTGAAATGGCTCATGAATTGACCGTAAAATGTAATGCTCATGGATTATTGCTTACAACTGAAGCTACTCGTGAACAGTCTGTTAATTATGGTTCTGTAGTTATTGATTCCGATGGAAAAGTTAGTTCCCAGAGTATTTGCTTTTTTTGTAATCTTCAGTTTGCAAAATACATGGTTATTTTAATCCATTTGTATTCATTCTTGCTGTGGATCCATACTATGACTATCTTTCCAGGTTCTTCATTATGTAGACAAACCAACAACTTTTGTTTCACAATTTATTTCTTGTGGCGTCTATCTGCTCCGTTCTAGCGTTATTGAAAGAATTGGTATAGCGCAAAGTTGTTCTGACACAAAACAGGTTTTGTTTCCGAAATTATACGGTTTCGTAAGATTTGTATTCATTCTTGCTGTGGATCAATAGACTAAAGCTTAGATGCTTTGTAAAAAGTATTAACTACTTTTCAAAAGATTTTACATATTGTTTCTTGGAGGCTTTATGTATGCTTTTAGGTTTGGCTCGAGACAGAAGTTTTTCCTCAGATGGCTTCAGAATCCGTGCTCTATGCATTGAAGACAAAGCGATGGTGGAGTCAGACAAAAACTGCAGCGTATGATTACATATCATAAATGCGTCGGCACACTATAACCAGCAAATATATTTAGCTGATAAAAATCTCAATATTTAGCTGATAAAAGTTTTTTTATGAATTTAAATGCATCAAGTAAGTAATTTATTGTCTTTTCAGTGCAGTACTTTATGCAAATCGTCATTATCTCCGTTTATATCATATTTCCGATCCATCACGATTGTGTCATGATAAAGCGCACATTATCGGAGACGTTTTTATCGATCCTACTGCAGAAGTACGTTCTTTTTCTTTTTATGTTCTCTTCAAATTTCTCTATTTTCAAAGCGTCCTTGAACATCTAAAAAATCTTTCAAAATAATATATTAATTGGTTTGTCGGAAAATGCTTTCGCATTGAGAATCATTCTCATTTATAAACTATCAAACATTTGGCTAAAAACCATTTATATGACGTAAATAAATTGTAAGCACATAGATTGATTTATACAGTGATCGAAGACATTTTCTAGATTTATTCATCTCACCAAAAAAGTTTGGTTGTGATATATTTTTAATTTTCATAGATTTTACCAATTTTTTTATATTTTGGATATCATAGTAATATTGAAAAAATTTAATTACAGATTAATCCCACAGCAAAAATAGGACCGAACGTAAGTATTGGTGCAAATGTTAAGATAGAGGCTGGGGTTCGTGTTCGTGAAAGCATTATTTTGGCTGGAGCTGTAATCAATAAACATGCTTGTATTTTGCACTCTGTAATCGGTTGGCGTAGTGTGATTGGTGCTTGGTCTCGCGTAGAAGGTACACCAATTACACCAAATCCAAACATTCCTTTTGCTCAAGTAGATAATAAATCCTTATTCAATGTAGATGGTCGTCTTAATCCATCACTAACAATTCTTGGATCTGATGTTCACGTTCCGGATGAAATAATTATTCTTAATTCCATAGTGTTGCCTTATAAAGAACTTACATCCAGTTATAAAAATCAAATTATATTATAAAAAGATACTTTTTAAAACTTTCTTTAAAATAGTGCTAATTTTTAGCATTCATTTTCTTGTTATCATAAACTGAGCTCGATCAATTTATACAAATCAATATAATGATTCCAGTTTTATATTATAACATTAGGATTTCTTCTTTAAATAAGTGGATAAAACTGCGATGGTTTATAATTTTTATGGGATATTGATTATATTTACAAATTTATTGTATCTAATATCCAGACTTTATTTAAAAGTGTTTTCTGCTACGACTCATAAGTTCTTGCAAATATATCAAAATATATCACTCTTTTGTCTTTAGTAGTTTTAAAAGCGTGATAATTTATGAGTTTGTATAATCTCTGCAAGAGATATTACCTGAGAAACTATACTCCAAGTGCTCTTGTAAAGTTTTGGTTGAGAAGGCTATACTTTGCTTTCTTTTTCTACTACTTTATTTTCATGTAGTAATTTCGCCTTTAAATTGTGCAGTATAAGAAAATATTTTATTATGCATGATTAAGTTTCCAAGCTGTTATGTTGTTTTTGTGATTATTTCTTTGTTCTCCACCTTATTCTGTGTGTTTCACTTACAATTGTTATTATGTGTGCAGTTCATGAGCAGCAGCTATCTATCCGGACTGATAGTGCATTACTGCAACAGTCTACTTTCATTAAATATCATTCATATAAAAATGATACTGTACTTATTGTATCTTGTACGTATTGAAGTTTTAGTTGTAAATTGTGTATGAAACAAGGAAGTTTTCCCAAATTTCTGTTTTTTTTTGTGCCTTCTTAATAATTCTTAACTGTAATGCTTGCTTCTCCGACTTCATATTGTTTCTTTGCTCATAAAAATTTTGCTGTGCATTAAGCTTTTAAAAATTTAGCGATATTTCTGTGCACATGTTCACTTCAAACTATTATCAATTGCAAAATTTTCGTCACATCAAAAACTTTGTTAGTCTGAAAGAATTACACTTTTCAGTTCATTGCTGTTGCTTTAATTAAACTTAATAAATTTTTCAATGGCTGTATTGCGAGCATCAAATAACGTCGAAAAGTAGTTATTGCGAGCAATGATAAAGATGTTTCCTTTTTTGCTCAACAGTCACTTCCTTCTTGAACAAAGTTTAGCGAGGTGTCTGTCTAACTGCTGATTGAGGATGCATATCTTAAAATACGGGCTGTGATTGCTGGCAGACGACAGAATGCCAATTTACTTTTTTGCGTTACAAGTGTAGGCTTAGTACTTCAGTTGCTATCTTCATTTTATATTTATTACACAGCTAAGACTTTGTACATCTGATTCTCATCCTCATGTGAATAATATTTCCTCATTACAAATGGAACATAACTATTTCCGGTAATTGATGTCAATGGAAAAAAGTACATTGAATATATGATAAATAAGAGGACCATGGAGACAAACCACAGATCTAAAACGAATCAGTTATCAAGCTAATGAATAGTAAATTATCTGCTTTTGTTCGCTTGCTATTCCGAAATTCATTGGGTCATCTATTTCTAATGCCGGGTCAACTATTCATCTTTTTTTCAACAATTGCAAATACAAGTTGTCATCAATAAAAATTCATAAAAATTTTATCTGTCATTCATATCTCTTTTTTTAGTACAATGCATTCAACCCAAATTAAATCCAGATCAACTGATTCATTGCTATCATTCATCACAATCTTTTTTAGTTCAGTTTATACATACACTCCACTCATATTGTCTGTATATTCTTTTTCGTAATACTTTTTCTTTTCCTCTTTAGTCTCTTTCAATTATCGTCTAACACTGTACTCCCTAAAATGATGAATGGCGACGTCTCATTAGGATTTTTCTCAAATGAGTTAGTTGATGGACTGTTTGAATTAATTAAGAAAAAAAATAGTGAATTTGAAATTGTTGGGGGGAAATGATTTTGCTCATTTTGGAAAGAGGGAAGAAAAAAAGTCGATCATATGTTTCTCTTATTTCGAAATATTTTCAATCAATTTTTAATTTTCAAATTCAGCTTTTACAGGTGAAAAATTAATTAGTTTATATTTGTATATATGAAAGGATCAGTCATGCTTCATTTGCATTAACAGTTTGACTTCTTTCTCATGCTTATTGATTAATACAATACATTCATCAAGTATATATTGTGTTTATATGATTTCATTACAAAATTATGGTGTAAAATGGTATAAGTAGTTAATATTATTTGAAAGAAGTATCAGTAACGATTCTAGGAATACGTGATGAAAAGATAACTTTTATCAGTTGTTACAAATTTGATAGCATAGAATCTAAGCATTTAATGATGTATAATTGAGCAAATTAGAAGCTGCGTATATATTTTGCCCAAGTTGTTATGATCATATTATAAATTATGTAAAGTTCGTTTCTCAATGTCCACCCTTTTTTTTGCCAATGATTTCGTCGATCAATAAGTCGGTTATACGATCCTAATTATTATCTATCGTAGTGAATTTGTTATCTTTGCTTGGTCTAACTAATCTAAGAATGCATTTCTTGCTTGCATCACTAATTTATCTGATCAGTGAGCTTCAAACAACGACCATTTTGTGATAAGAACATATGGTATATTAATGAGCAAAAAATTAGTAAACAAAACTACAATTGATGAAATTGTAAATATGTGTAAACACAACATTGCAATCTAATTTTCAAACAGATTTGGTAAAGACGTAAGTGTCTGCGAGTGAAGTGAGGATGACGTGAATCATTGCCTTCCATATTGCTTGCAGTTGCCAGTTGCTACATTTGCATTAATGCTCACTGCTCTCTGACCGATATAGAATTTTCTTTGTTTTTTGTTGCATCATGATAAATAAGTGCAATCGAATAGCATGCTTTGCATTTCATAGCACTGCACTATCCTTCTCTGCAGGAAACGGAATGGAACGGAATTAACGAATGGACTGAAATTGAATGCTGGAAATAGAAGAGAGGAGGATGGGTTAATATTATTTGTCTCGCTAGTCTGGTCGAGTTAGGAGAACAGAACTCATAAGGCAAGCACTTGCGTTTATTGCAACTGCTCTCATTGAAATGAGTTCCGGCCTTCTCTTATAGCAGTTGTCCACTAGGGGGATCGAGCTGAGAGCTGTAAACTAGATGATTTGATACATATGTATGATATGTGTTTGCTGATTTTACCACGATGATTTATTTAATAAAAATTAAGCCATCTGTAGCACAACGTGTAGTAATTCTGCGTGCTTTTACTCTCTTTTAAATCAGCAAAAAGAGCAAAGAAAGAAAACAAAGTATTTCTGCTTAACAAGTTATGCAAATGAAACGAAAAGCCATTAAAGCAATCCATTTATTGTGGTATGAATAATATGTGTCTGTAATGCGTGGTTATTATGCATAATAGCAATTCTGCTTGATCATTTGCCCACTGTTGAGTGCATTGAAGGACGTATGTGACAGACACTGACTAGGTGAAAAGAGCTAATTTTTAAGAGGTATAAATTGAGAGATTGGAATACCGCCTACTTCCTACTTCCCGCTTTTTATTTTTATCATCATTTTTATTATATTAAAAAAGCTACTGAAAGGATAAGTTATGCTTCATTTGCTTTATCAGTTTGACTTCTTTCTCAAGCTTATTGATTAGTACAACGCATTCAAGTATGAATTTTGTTTATATGATTTTATTACGAAATTATGGTGTAAAATGGTATAATAAGTAGTTAATATTATTTGAAAGAAGTATGTGTAATGATTTTAGAAATACATGGATGAAAAGATAACTTTTATCAGATGTTACAGATTTGATAGCATAGAATTTAAGCACTTAATGAGCTTAAGCTTTTCTTTGACCCTCAGAAGCATTTCATTGCAGAGAGAAATAGTAAATGGAAGGTGTCACGATTAAATATGAATGATAGATAAAATAGCTGACGGGAAAGACCCAGGAATACTTGAATTTGTACTTTGATCTATAATTTTTCAATATACTGCTATTTGTTTAACATATTTTAAATTTTGTATTTATGTTTTTTGTTATGTACAAGCAGTTTCTACTAATTCGGTTTTTGCAGTTCATTGCAAATCGAAATTAATTAGTCAGCAAGACAAAATGAGTTCATTTTGTCTTGCTACTGTTGGATCAGATTTGTATTGTAGCAGAAAACTTTAATAAGTTTACTTTTATCTTTATTTCGTTCATTCATACATATTGTTAAAAAACATCATTTGTAACAAAGTGAACTGTTTATGTATATCGTACGCATTGCATTAGTTGCGTAGATTTGTACTAAAATATGCGTTGAATTGAATGAGATTTATGATCACATATTGTTGTTTAAAAGCTATTGCTAAGGTCTGTTATGTATTTATGTGAAATTCTTACTTCAGCTTTCTCCATATGCTATCATATATTTATAGAAGGAAACAGAATATTATAAGCATATTAATGAAGTAGCAGATCAACAAAATAGCTAAATATTACAGTACAGCAGACAGTTTGAGAAAAAGCTAAAAAAAACAAAAACGGAGGCAGCAGTGCATAATTGATTCTTTAGCTTAAGTAAGTGAATCAGTGCATATTGTAAATTGAGACTGAATTGAGCTGATTTGCGCATAAGTAGGAAAAAAATGATACATAACAGGATGTGATTTCTTGGATAATTTTTGGTCTCTTTTCTAAAATAAAATGGTATGGTGTGTGAATAGCATTGGCATGAGGTATTGAGGAGTACTCGTGTATCTCTCCTCGCATTTAGTAATTGCTAGAAAACTTGTCTAGTCTTACTTCCTTCTATCCTATTTCTCCCAAATTCATCGTTTTTCGACAGTAGATATTTTGCAGTAAATTTCCTACGACAATTGACTTATTATACCGCTTGCGTACTATTTATCTACTCTAACCATGCCATTTATGCAACTATTTTACTCTTAATTAGAGCTAAGAAAAATCTCTTTACCAAAAATTAATTTTTTCAGTTGTAAATTGTGAGAGAAACTCTCACATTATATTTCTATCGACATCTACCTCAGCTTTTAAATTATTACTAAATCCATGAAATAGTATTGAGAAACACTTAGCGTACATCTGCTCGTACTAGAGGTGTTCGAGTAATATTGCAGTAAATGACCCCAGTCGATAATTTTATCCTCCCTTTGCCTGTTTTTTTTCTCAAATAATCAGAAATCTCAAATACACAAAAATTATACAATGATGCACAATGACCTTCTCATTTTTTGCATTTATAATTTTACCCAGCTGTTTACTTGCCATATATATACTAATCATTTTACGCTCTAGCAGTTTCCTTGGAATTTCCCGATATTTTATTGACTTTCATGAGTCCTTTTATTATTTCCTCGCCGAATAAACTGACATTTTTTGCTGCATTTGAATTTAGTTTCAGATACTGACTTGAATGCTGTCTGTTAAGAATTATTCATCCATTTATTTTATTGTATTATTTGAACAAAGCATTACAATGCGAATTGAAAATAGTATTGAAAAAACATTGATTTTTGACTATAAAAGACTTGGAGAGAAAAATTTAGCGGAAACAGTATGAGACTAATAATAATGCCGAAC